TTCCACAGTGGAATTCTGGGAGTTGAAGTCCACACGTCTTAAAGTTGCCAAGGCTGAGAAACACTGCACTAGAGTATAGCGCGTCTTAAAGTTGTCAAGGTTGAGAAACCCTGCTACAGTCATTCCCAGGTATTAAGCCCTACTATATTCCATAGGGCTTTCCTCTGAGCAGGCACATATACCCTTGCACAGTAGGAACTAAGCCTCCCTTCAACTCTTTTCTTTTCCCTCTTAAATCAGGCGGAATCAAACACGACCACCTTGGCTGAGATCCCGCCGGCGCCTTCCCTATTTACCAAAGCGACTTCCTGCGCAATTTTGCCCCGCGAGCAATTCTCCAGCAACCGTTCCTAGGCAGGAGCGACGGCCGCTTCCGAATAAATTGCCCTACAGCGCCGCCCTTCCTCGCAACCCCAACAGCGCGTCTTTAACTCGCCCTCCGAAGGGAGAGAACAGAACCGAGAGAAAAAAAAAAGGAAGGGAAGGAAATAGGGATTGGACCAGGGAGGAGCCCATCAAGCCGTTCAGCCAATGCGAGAAGCCAACGTAGGAAGGAAGGCGGGGATCCGGAAGACAAGAAGTAGTCAGCTGTAAATCTTCCCTTCCGCTGGGGAGGGACGGCGAGTGACAGCTGGCAACCATGTTTCAGTTTTTGGTAAGTTTTTGGCAAAGGGAGGAACGGCCCGGCTGGGAGGAGCGCAGCCAAAGGAGAGTTTTCAGGTGGCGGCGCCTGGGTGACTTTGGGTGGGCTGGGAAGCGACGCAGGGTCGGGTCTCGTTAGCGCTTGAACGGGGGATCTCCAGGGAATACCTGGCTGTAGGCTAAACTAAAACAAAACAAAACAAAACTTTCCGAAGGGCTTTGTGTTGGGGGTCTGTCCAGCAAAAGACGCCCGGGAATCTCGGGGTAATTGATTTATGAACTTCTTTAAATGTATTACAGCCGCCCACCTCCCACCGTTTAGACTTGCCTAAAGTTCCCTGCGTTATTAGTCCTTCTTATCCGATGTAATCTACCGGGAATTATGCCAACCTCCCTAAAGAGATGTTGGACTTTAATTCCCATAAGCTGTGTGGTGTTCCTTGAGGTGAACTGCCATGTGAACCTCAACTGTGGAACTTCTTTCCAAGGATAGATGTAGGTTTGGGTGGAAGGCATCCCTGCCCATAAAAATAATGTTTCACTTCCCCCCACCCCCAATCCATCTATATGCTGTATATTTTTCTACTTTTCCAAAAAAGTGCAATCCTCATGCAAGTGGCTGTCCAATTTTTTCTTGTAAACCTCCAGTGATGGAGCAACTGGAGCAGGCTGTTCTACTGCTTAGTAGGTCTCACAGTCAGGAAATTCATCCTTATTTCAAGTTTGGGTCTCTTTCTGTTAAGCTTCCACCCACTGGTTCTTGTCCTAGCCTTGGGTGCTTTGGAGAAGAAAGCCACACTCTCTGCTCTGTGACATCCCTTCATATATTAGAAGACTGCTGTCATGTCTCTCCTTAGCCTTTTCTTCTTTCGACTAAACATCCTTTAATCACTTCTCATAGTATTTAGCCTCCAAGCCCTTTATTTTCTTTGTTGCTCTTCTCTGCACTCTTTCCAGTTCTTCAGGATCCTTGTATGACGGTGACCAGAACTGGACACAGCAGTTCATGTGTGGTCTGACCAGTAGAGCATAGAGTGGTACAATCACCTTCTGTGATCATGAAACTATTTCTGTGGATGCAGCTCAAAACCTCATTGGCTCTTTTGGCAGCTGCGATGCATTGCTCGCTCATGTTTAATCTGTGGTCTACCAAGAATCCCAGATCCTTTTTGCAGGTACTATTCCTAAGCCAGGTACCACCTATCTTTGCATCTGGTTTTTCCTGTCTAAGTTTAGAAAAACATACATTTTTCACCATCATCTTACATTTGAATCTTGAGCCTGTGTTCTGGGGGGTTTGCACTCTCCCCTCCCCAGCTTTGTGTCATCTGCAAATTCTGGTCTGTCATCAAAGTCATTTATGACTTATGGGTTTGTCTCCAGATGTGTTTAGGTAGGTCTCAGAATAGCTAGCCTTGTATGAATATTACATAAATAAATAGTATTAGATGTGAGCTATCCATGTGAGCTGTACTGGTCCCTTGTATAATTAACCAGATGAAAAGGATGTAGGCTGATCTACTTTCATATTCATAGACTGCTGGATCAGCAAACATAACAAACTTTGGCTTCCTGCAAAGAACAATTTGGCCAGTGATCCAATGTGATCCCTCTGTGTGCTTTGGATTACAGATTCTGTCACCTCGTCCTGCATAATCAGTGGTTTGTGATGTTTTGGAAAAAAGGAAACTAGGATGGTTTGCACTGTTAAAAAAAAAAAGCTTGTGATTCTATGAAATACAGATTCTATGAGATTCAATGTGCTAAACTATGGTTTGTTTAAAACATGGTTTGTTGACTAAGCTACAATGACTGGGTTTACCTATAATATTAAGCCATTATAGTTGGTTATATTTTGACAATATAGAAATGTAAGGAATAAATAATACTACATTTTACATAAGAACATAATCAAATTAGGTTCATTCTGTAAATTGTTGAAATCTACATGTAAGGTTCGTGTAAACATTCTCCCCATTATTATCATGAGTGTTTGATTTTTATCCTGCCTTTTTAATATGAATTCTTATTTTAAGGAGTTTAGAGCCAATCAGGATTTGGAGCCAGTATTTCTTTTCCCTATGCCCCTGGGTATTGCATAATTAAGACTAGCTTTTGAAATAAATGCTGGACAATTCTGTTGGATTTATTTTTAACAATGTGCACATAAGATATGAATTGGGCATAAAATCCACATCAAAGTATGATCAGAATATACAATGCCAACTGCACTGTTGGTGTAGTACAGCAATTCCCCTGGGGCAATTTCTAAATGTGTGAATTTCAAGTCCCAGAATTCCTTAGCCAGCATGGCCATGGCTGAGAATTCTGAACATTTCATGCATCTGGAAGAGACCCATGTTGGAAAACACTGGTGTAGATTTTTGTCATCAGTGCCTGTAATTTTATGCAGACTCTTGTGAGAAACACAAGAATGTTGTTCTTGTCCAGAATCACATTTCTCAGCTAGTTCTGGAATTTTAGCATCGAGAATAGTTTGTCTTTCCATTCCCAAGAAACCAGACAAACTTTGAGGAGCTGAAGGAAGCTGCACTACTCCTTGACAAATTAATGGAAAAAGGGTGTGTGAAATCCTGTGGCAGAACAATAGAAATAAATAGGAAGTGGGAATACAGATCAGAGACAAAGAAAATTCTTGTATAGTCAGGGTACCGTGGGTATAGGAACGTGTGTGTCCCATTTGCCAGAGCCAATTAAATAGAAGGTCCTGTTGTTCTCATATGGAATTTTGAGGTTTGCCTTGCATTTTTTGTAAAAAACTGATCTCATTGCAAAATTCCAGAAAGTGTGTCAAAAAAACATGAGTACAGTCAAGTTTCCATCCACTAGTTGATGGAACAATGTCAGCGTGTGTTTTATATTTTCGGCCTGAAGCAAGGGAGCCAAGTTTGCTGTAGCAGGAACAAGCTGGACATACTAGAGAAGTAAAATACTTATCTCTAGAAGAGTAAAAGTATTTCACTATCCATCCTAAAAACAACAGAACTCGGTACGGTGAATGTGATGACGATGATGAGAAATGGTTGCTGTTGGAGTTCAGAGAGAAATGTGAGAAATCTCAGAAGCAAGCATGATTTTTCAGGATTAGGAGGAGATGCTCTACTGTAAATCTCTGTGTTTGCAAGTTTCACATGATGTTCTTTGCCTGACCAGGAATGGCAGAAAAATGTTTCTCATTTAATATGAGAAACAGAGAAGTAGAAGTTTTTAATATTTAGCTCCGAAAATTATTCAGAGTGCACCTTTGTCTCTCTGTCTGGAAGAAGGTGGTAGATATTACTCAGAAATCTTCAGATTACTATGAATATTTTCATGAGTCAGCCTTGTGCTTTGCCACCTTCCTCAGTATGGAATTACTGCATCATAGTGTTCCTTGCTCAGTGGTAGGATTCTCTGTTAGCTTCCATATTCATATTTGGAATATCAGGTAAATGGGGGAAAAAGGCTTCCTAGGATTCTGGATTGTCAGTCCTCATTAGCATAGTAAATAATGCCATATCAGAGAAGAGAGTGTGTAAGCACTCTAAGCCAGTTTTCTATTTTATGCAGGTAACTTGGAGCCCAGTTATTTTGCTTCATAGATTGTAACGTTCTCAATTTATATGTGGAATATATATTAGTGGGAAGCTGGATGGAAGATGAGTGTGGTTTGAGAATTGGAGGAAGAAATGTCAATAACCTGCGCTGTGCTGATGACACTACTCTGATAGCTGAAAACACAAGTGATCTGCAAACTCTAGTAATGAAAGTTAATGAGCACCATGACAAATGGGACTAAGGTTAAATATAAAGAGGTCAAAACTAATGACAACAGGAACAGCAACCTCAGAATTGATAATAAAGATATTGAAATAGTGGATAGCTGCTGCCTTTTAGGATCAACCATCAACAGTAAAGGAACCAGAGGTCAAGAAATATACCTGCAGACTAGCACTTGGTAGAGTAGCCATGAAAGCCTTGGAAGAGCTATTCAGCTGCTGGGATGTCTCTATACCTACAAACATCAGAATCGTGGAAGCCATGGTTTTCCCTGTGACACTCTATGGAAGTGAAAATTGGGCTTTGAAGAAGCAGGATAGGAAAAGTATTGATGCTGTTGAACTTTGGTGTTGGAAAAGACTCCTGAGAATACCATGGATAGCCAAGAAAACAAACAAATGGATCAATCAAACAAATCAACCCAGAATTCTCACTCAAGGCACAAATGATCAGACTCAAATTGTCATACATCAGATATATTATGTGAAGACCTAGCTCCCTGGAGAAGGCTTTGATCTGTGAAAGGTGGAAGGAAAGAGAAGATGAAGACAACCAGCAATAAAGTGGATGGACTCAATTACAGTGGCAATATGTGCACTGTTGGACGACCTGAAGGACCAAGCTGGGGACAGATTGTGATGGACAAAGTCTATCTAAGTAGTTATTAAGAGTTGACAATCTCTTATCAAAATCAATCTATCATTGTAATGTTCAGTGGAACTTACTCCCTAGGAAGTGTGCTTAGATGTTTGTTTTTGTGTCCTTGTCTGGCTTGGCAGTTGTCTTGAACATTTCCTTGTTGCAACTCCTATAGTATAGAAAGACTAGTCGTGGCAAGTAGTATCAGGAGACCAGTTGTTATTTGCTTTTCTCACTAATCTGAGTTAGCAGTTATTGACTAGGTGAGGTTGACTTCATTTCTCAAGAGCTCAATCCAAATACTAAACCTCACACCTGGCAAGAACTTCACGTTACCTTACTGGGAGTTGACTGTGCCACTTTTAGAAAGTCATCATCCAGAGCATCTTTAAGATAAGACTGTGAAAGGCAGGATGTTATTGATCACTGAGGAACTGTGGACGTAAAGGGAGATTTTGAACATGTACCTAATTGTTAACTAATTGTTTGTAATTTGTTTTGGGTTTCTTTTCAGCATGTTTTATGGAGGTTATTATTTCCCTGCCTTCCATCTCATGTGTTTATATTCCAAACAGAGAGGACTTGGGGGTGGGAGGTGGAAGGAAACAGGTCAAACATAGCTTCATGAGGAGTATTCCATGTTTGTAAGTGTTGTGTACCTTTATGCAAAACGTTTCTTTCAGCATTACGGAGATCAGGGCGACAGACTCATTGTGCTCACCTGCAGCAAATGGGTATTGTGTCTGGCCTATGGATTGATGTGCATATCAGATTTGGGGCTTTTCTACTGTTGGCATAAAGGGCTATGTCAGATATAAACTGTAATTTCATAGAGTTTCCCATTGCAGGAATGACTCTAACGATAGAATGGCTAGCCATTGCTTAAATGTCCAATCAATTTGCTTCATCGTAGAATACTGATGATACACTCCAGTCTTGTTTTCAGGGGTTACAGTGTGATATATCTGGAGGATAAAAATTTGTGAAAAGCCTGTTTATGCCCTAATAAATATATTAGCCTTTGATAGTGACTTCTATGGTGTTTTTGCTGTTAAATAGAGTCAGTTTACATATTCAGTAATGTTAATATGAAGTAATGTACAAATAAATAGTTTGAACAATATATGAAATAGTCCTTGGGGAGTCTCACACGGATCCAAAATACAAATTGTCATGGATGTTGTAAAATTAAGGTAAAATGATCATAAATGTAACTGCCTTGCCCAAATTAATTCAGATACAGTGAACTTGCCTGTTATTTCAGGGAGATGTCTAGATGAAAAATTTGTCCATTGCAACCTATTTGTCCATTTGCAAGTCTATTAGATGGGGGTCTGTTAAATCAAGATTTTACTGTCATAGCAAGCACAATGCTTGGCAAATTGGATTGGATCTGGTACTTGGGGGAAAATAGTGATTTTTAAATTCCCATTTCCAAGGAAGTAAAGCAAACAGAGGGTCCAAAACAGCTTTCCCCAACCTGAGGGTGATGGGAGTTGTAGTCCAACATGTCCAGAAGGCATCATATTGGGGAAGGCTAAATTAAATGAAGAATAAAAATGCAAGGTTATTGCTTCTCCAGAGGAGACTATAAAAATAGTGCAGTGTATATTATTTAAAATGGATTTTCTTGTCTTTTTGAGCACCACATCTACTGTATTGTATAGGATGAGAGGTGAATGGCATACAATGGCCTGTTGAAAAAAATCATAATTTTATTGCTGATATTTTTAATAGCTCTTTCTGTTCTTGGTTGCCAATAGAACCTGCAGTTTATTCATGGTTGGAGCGTAGATTCTCAAGGGCTAAAAGCAATTAACCTCCAGGCATTGCAATATTATATTAATGTTTCGTTACTGTTTTAATGTTGTGAATTTGAAGACTTCATTATCCAGATGGAAACCATTTAAGACATGCACATGTAAATTAGTCTCAAAATCTTGCTTTTGGAAAATAGATGAACAAAATTGGATAAATCTGTACTCACAGGAGTAAGCCACCACAAATCAACAGCAGTAGTACTGGGCTGGAAGTGACTATGGAGCTGTGTTAGGCAAAGTTTTTTATGTGAATCAAAGCTTGGCATGGATGGACATTCACCAACATTTAATCTATATCTGTCAGTCTGACTACTCTTCCACCTTGCTGCCATGTAGGCATCTTTGAAATGACCATGAAAGTACTTAATGAAACTTCTGCCCTAGTTCCTTGATGTAATTCTTGTGATTATGATTTTTTTTCAACTAGGGATTTATTTACCTATTTATTCATTTTCTAGGACTTATATACCACTTCAATGAGAAATATTGACCCAGTATGTATCAATATAAAAGAGAATGTATATACCTTGAAATGGGTAGACAATTGATCTGTAGGTGACCTCATTCTAATGCCCCTTTGATTGTGCTATGGAATGATTTTTTAGGCTTGTCTGATTTTTTGTGTGTGTGTGTGTGTGCAAAATTAAGGTGCAAAACACAGTTATACCTCTGTTGCATAGTTTTTTTGCCCTTTAAAAATCCTCCAGACTTAGTCCCCTCACCCATCAGCTGTCACTGGGCCATTGCCATTCTCTCTGTGGTCCTGAGAAGCCCCAATGTCTTTTAAAGGAAAGTGTATCTTCTAGCCACAAAAAAGTTACCCACTTACCACATTTCCACATGGTTTGTCATCTTGATATTATCCCACAGTTGAGAAGGAGAAACAGCCATGAGAAAATGCTGGCAGCTGTGATAAGCTGGCAATTATGGCAGTGAAAAAGAAAGTCCCCCTGCCCCATCCCCACACTGAGAGTATGTTATCTGAAGTTTCCCCAAATCCTGGCCTGACTGTTTGCACAATTCTAGTGCTTAAATTGCAAATAGTGACGAGAGGAATTATGTGTTTGTAGCTTACGTGGAACTCAGTCAAATGGTGGAAACCATTTGGCAAAAACATTAGCTAAAAACATGATAAACACTTTAATGAAAATCAGGTTTTGCCCCGAAACTGGCAAAACATTTGTTTTAAAAGATAGAATGGAAAACTAATGGAATTTCTAAAGTACATTTCATGGGTGGTGAGGGAGAGAAGTAAAATCCTCAATGTTGTGCTTTCTGTTCTTTCTTCAGCTTGGTTTTGCAGTTGGCAATGTAGTTGGAATGTATTTGGCCCAGAACTATGATGTAAGTATTTTTGCTACTTTCAAACTTATGTTAAAGTTTGGACTTTGTGAGGATTGGAGAACCTGTCAACCGCTAGATGATGGTGGACTCCAGTTCCCATTTGTTCTAGAATGTAGCGGTCAAAGGTATCTAGGATGATGGGAGCTGTTGACTTGCAATATCTGAAAGGCTATTGATTCCCTATTTTTGTTCTAGGTAACCACAATCCAGCAGTTTTTGATTTCTGTAATAAAGAGGGTCCAGATCAGTTTTACTTACCTTCACCCATACCTTCATTTCATTCTGTTTCCATACAGAATGTACTTAACTTACATTAATCTGCATGAAAGTATCTGTGATATATTTTGATACTTTTCCATTGAAACCTGCATTACAGGTTTTAGAATGTTTGTTTTTTCTTAGTGTTTGTCCCAGAAGGCACCAAAGTTTGCCTGTTTTTGCACTGCAACTAATTCTTACAGCAAAGCTTATCAATGCATGATTCAACCAGGGGTTTCATTTATCAGCTGACTTGTCACAGAGACTGAGGCTGAATAGGCTCAAGATCACTCAGGTGACTTCCATGCCTAAGGATGGACTGGAACTTGGTTCTCCCTGCTGCTAGTCCAACACTTTCACCGCTACATCACAATGTCTCTCTCACCTGCATTGCAGCTTTCAGAATGATGTATAAAATCAAGGATATACCAAAAATGGAAAAGGTAGAATTTCTTAATCATCCTTCTCTTGCTGATCAAATGTCTTTAAACATTTCAGACCAAAGACTCAAATTTAATTTAAAATTATAACATGGAGTCCATACATTGTCATATGCTGAAAACAAACAGATGGCTTTTTTCCTCCAGGCAAGTTTTTGGTTTCTATAATGAAAATAGTTATATATCCCCTTTTTCTGGTTATTTTATTATTATTGTTTTGTTGTCGGAAAGTGTTTATACCAGTATGCTATACTTGCTGAGACAAAAGAAAAAAAGAAAAAGGATGCCTTTGGAAGATTTAGTTGTTTCATTAAGGTGTTTTATTTGTATATCTTTCTTGATGAAATCTGGGGATGTTGTTTACTCCTGTGCTGCTGACATACCCTAGAACTGCTTGTCTTGACTTTGGACTTCCCAGATCTGTTGAATTACAATTCAGAGAATACTTAGCCAGCATACTGAGAGTGGGATCCTGTGGAAGACCCATGTTGAGAAAAGCTGATCTGGAGGGTCTGTGTTGGAAGTCTACACTGTAAATCCAGATGGGATAGGATGTCTTGTATCTGTTCGAGAAGATTTAAGGAAATTACTTTTCCTGGGTGAAAGTTGCATTCTAAGAAAGCAAATACTCAGCTGTAGGATTAGATATGTGGGCAGATTGACAGATGTGTTGAATTCAGCCAGTTTCCACTATACATCTACATGGATTGGATTGTCACTGTGGATTTCTTTTTGTTTGTATTTGCTCATTTATATGCTTCTTACTCCCAACCTTTTTGGGTGTTTACAAAAAAATATAAGTCATATAATGTAAATGTTATCATCATGAAACATTAAAAAGCCTGGATGAAAATATTTGTTTTGAATCCCCTTCAGTTGGTAATACAGATGGTGCCTCCTTCAACCCTAGTTTCACAATAGAAACCCTGCCATGGAAGAACTAATTGTCAGTGTGAAATATATCTGTGGTCAGACTTGCAAAGGCACTAGAAGTGTTTCTCAACCTTAGAAACTTTAAGATGTGTGGACTTCAACTCCCAGAATTCTCCAGTCAGCTTGTAGCCAGCATGCTGGCTGGGGAATTCTGGGAGTTGAAGTCCATACATCTTAAAGTTGCTAAGGTTGAGAAACACTGCACTAGAGTATAGTACAGAGCAGATTGTAGAAGAAGAGACATTCCTATACATATCTTGGACCCAGAAATTACCTTGAACTGACTCTCTAAACTGCAGAGGTTCTTATATTCTTTTATATGTTTTATAGGTTCCAAACATTGCAAAGAAGATTGAAGACATCAAGAGAGATGTGGAAGCTAAAAAGAAGCCTCCAAGTGATAAATGATGTTGATTTAGGCATCCTTCTATTCAACATAGATGGTATACTTTAACCATCCAGCCACAGGTGTAAACCTTTTATATGACTTTAATGAATTCTCCCAGGTCTGGTCTCAGAAGACCTTAACAGTCCTCAGGCTTAATATTACTGTATCCATGTGGCCTCCTTGCACATTCAGGTTATTTGACTTAAAAAAAAATCTCATACATGACAAAGTATACAAATTGGACTTTTGTTCTCCATGTATAGATTCTGTAATATTGTGCATTTAGTAATAACATGATTTGGGAACAGAATAATGATATGCCATTAATTATTCCAAACTAAAACACACAACCCTACAGATAGTGGTACCAAATCTCTGATAAAAATGCCCATCTTGTTGCCTGAAATAAGAGTTTTCTGTTTTATTATTGGGGATCCTTGCAACATGTATAGTCAACTATTGTATCTCATGTAAACTGAATGTGAAAAGTTGAGCTGTTCAGAGAGGTATGAAACCCAATGTTTATCCATTGTTTTTGACATTGTGAAACCTAAAAAAAAAAATTGAACAATGTATTCAATAATGAATTGTACCAAGGTATCAATGGCATACTCATCTTCTAATTCTTAGTATATAAATCAGTATTTTAGTTTACAATATTTCTAGGGGTTTACCATGCTGGTATAACTAAGAATTGATGGAGTCCTGTGCTTGCATTATGATGAAAACATGAACCAAACTATACAAAGTTACTGGGTTATATTTGTACTGCCTTGTATCTATTGTAGCCCTTTCTTGAAAGAAAGAAAGATGCATTTATCTAAAGATGATAAGAAACCTCATTCTTCATTAGAAATATTTAAGGAGAGGCTGCACAACCATTGTGGATATTGCATTGCCTACATAGGGGTAAGCATACCTACTGTATGCCCCCTCTAAACATTTTTGTATCCCATGCTATTCTGACTGATCACTCTACTCCATTTTGTTAATGGAAGTGCTGAAAATTAGCAGTATGAAACAGGCTTAGCATGACTTAAAAACCATCTGTCCCAAATCCAAGCCTCCATTCCACTGAAACCCTTCCTCACCACAAATATAGAAGTTCAAGTTTTGGCCGCCTAGGTTTGCTCATCTCTGAACTAGATGATGTAGGTTTCTTACAGCTCTGGGAGGCTGTTCTCACTGAAGAACAGCACTGGATGGGTTACAGAGATTTGGTTTCATTTGTTTTCCTGTGTCATCTTCCCCACCAGAGTCTGAGAAGACTCTCATTAGCTACAAGGCAGTGTACAAATTGGAGAACTTTTGCCTCATTTATTTCACTGAGTGGAAGATTACATGAGGTCAAGCCCTATCTAGAATCTCTTGATATATTCTGTTACATTCAGTCCAGAACTATTACAATTCTTTTGGGTTGTTATATGGTTTGACATCAAATAATGGACTAGATAATAAACTTGTGGTCAGATTAACTTGGAATCTAGAATTCTAGTTCCATGTCAGATGCTAAACCCATGACCTATATATTTACATGAGAATTACTTGAATTTTTAGTTTTCTTCATTTATTAAATAGCAAGTTATGGTATTCATAAATGTGGGACTATAACAATGTCCCTATACTATGCTGAATACAGCTTTATGGATTACCATGGTGCATGCATATATCCATAAAAAGTGTATATACTAAACTATTGTGAAACATTTCAGTTTTTAAAAGGTGTCTGATTCACAGTGATGTAATTGAGAACATTTTCCCTTAATTTGGCTTTTAATTCTGTATGTAGACTGTAATCCATCATATCAAACCTGTTGGGGCTTTTGGGATCACAGTAACAAAGATTCTCTTTGTATTATCATTTTGAGCTCTTGACCATCACATATAGATGCACTGTTAGAGCATCGTTATCAGCTGTCATTTCAAAAGAATGCAAAGTGTTTGGGTAAAATTGCTTGAATTCCCTGCCAATCTAATTTTATCAGAAAGTGTTTTTTTTCTCTCTTTCAGAATCTTGTCTATACTGGTAGACAGGGGGAAGGACTGGAAAGTTGGAATGTTGTCCCAACTAATGCAAATTTTCAAAGAGGATGACATTCAGAGGTCAAAGCTAATTTTACATAAAGCAGCATGGAATTGTTTCTCTGGATTGCATATCTGTTACTATTAAGTCAATTGAGCCGTATGTCAAGATCAGCAAAGCTCTGCTTTACAACAGTGACCGTCTTCTGAAATTGACAAATGGGCTTTTGAAGAATTAGAAATTATTTCCCAAGTCTGCCTGTAATGGTGCAAAAAAAAAAAAAAAAAGTATATATAGTGGTACAAAATAAAAGCTGTTTTTTTACTTCCTCTGAGAGTTGCCAGTTTTCCTTTGAGTTACATTCTTTCAGTGCCACTTAACACACACTGTATCTAGAACAGTTTTCCAGTGTGGGTTGGGGAAGGGATACAACAGACATGAGTACTAGAAGTTTTAGAATGAGAATATGGGTTGCACACGAAATATTTTAATAAAGTAGTGCATACCCTATCAGTATACTATGTGAATTGTACACAGATTTTATTTATTAATTAATTAATTAATTAATTAATTAATTAAACAAATTTATATGGCCGCCCAACTCACACATAGTGACTCTGAGCGGCTTACAGAATTAAAACCCCAATACAAAAAAACAATACCCCCCCCTACCCCCCTGGTAGCAACAAACACATTCAAATTAACTGTTTGATTGGCTCTGTTTCAGCTTGGGTCCCCAGGTCCCCTGACTAAACCATGTCTTCAGGGCCTTTTGGAAAAGTATCAAAGTGAGGGCCAGTCTTATCTTCAGGGGAATGATATTCCCTAGGGAGGGACCACCACCGAGAAGGCCCTTTTTCTCAGTCCCACTAGATGGACCACCCTCATTGAAGGGACCTGCAATATACCCTGCCTCCCCACTGTGGTGGGCCAGGTAGATGTAACTGGGGAGACATTTTCCTGAAATTATATTGTTTGAAAAGATGAAGTAGTTCAGTGTTTCTCAGCCTCAGCAACTTTAAGATATGCGGCCTTCACCTCCCAGAATTCCCCAGCCAGCATGCCAAAGTTGAGAAACCCTGTCCTTGTCTTGTGCAAAGAACTAATCATGATGCACATTTTATATCTAACTATCTACCTGTCTGTCTAGGAGTAAACATATGCAAACTAGGTAAATGTATGTAGAGTCTGTGGAATAAAGGAATTCAGCTTAGAGAAATTGGCTAATTTCACACATTACATTAAACCATAATGTTTGAGTCTTAGTGTGTCTTTGAATTACGAATTTGAAGATAATTAAGAGTTAAGGAATAAGGATGCAGAGGCTCTGGACTATATACAGATTTATTGTTCCTTTGATGTGATGATCAGGAAACAAAACTCACATATTTGGAGGGTGTGATACAAGAAGATAAGTATGTTTAGCAATGTTGAGGGAAAGGGAAGAAAGGGAAGGTAACAGATAACATGGATGGATGGGATTAAGATTATTGGAATGTCCTTAGAAAAACAGAATTCTCACTGGAGACAGGTCAAAGTGGCAATCTTTTATCCATGCTGTCAAAGGACTTGAACCTGATCTGATAACATCTAACTCATTTTATATTCATAGCCCTTAAAACAATCAAATACATTAGCCTGTACTGGCATCCTTAATAGCAAAATGACAATACAATTTTACTTATAAGAGTTAATACATTTGGACAGAAATGCTGGCACCTTCTTGGGTATGCATCTGTAACTAGACTTATGTACCAAATTTTAATCTGAGAAATTATTTAAACTGGTATCTTCCCATATAATTTTTCAGTAATCAAATCAAGTGTCCTAATTATGCAAGAAAGTTTTATTTTGTTCCTTTTTATTTGCAAATTGTTCCCATTATGAGACTTATTTGTTTCTAATCACTCATTTTAATAACTATTCATAGGGTACTTATTTTCTTCTCTCCATTATTTCCGAGTAATGTGCAGAACAACTCTAGCTGTTTATTATGTCTGTGTTTATATAATACTCTGAATTATTTTCTGCTTAATTGTATTTTATTGAATTGGCTGGGTCCATGCATCATTTATTTATTTATTATTTCAAGGTATGATAAAGAAATATGATAAAGAAAATACCAACTAAGTCTATATTAAATACAGGTGTTGAAAATGACTTCATATGCCCCTGGCTTCTACATCACTCCATTTCAGCAGGGGAGTTGTTTTGTTGCTATTGTTTAACAATTGTTATTAATTTGATGGTCTCATTCTGAGGTGAAGAACAGAAGGATAATAACTGTTACCAATAACATAGATTATTTTTCTCAACCCTCTCCCACTTTTACCTTCAGTCAAGAGGATTTTAAATTGGATATAAGTATGTACTGTAGTTACAAGACATCAGTGATATTCTTTGCCTATCTTCAGGTCTTTAGTAAGTTTAACATTTTATTTTTCCTAAGTTCTTATTATTAGAGAGCCTTTTCATGTTAGACAATGCTGAGGAAGCTGGCTATCTATACAGCCCAACAACACAATACTCTTTAGACTAATTGATACATTAGGTTAGAGGGGAGCCACGTGCTCATGATTTGTTTCCAGGCCTTTCCTGTATCAAGTGAATCAAATACATAGCTAGGGTGGAAGGATGGGGTAAAGTCTGAGAAATTCACTTGTATAGAGCAAAGAAGTGCCATTGAAGAGAGTGTGGTTCTTAGAATGGATCCTCTGTCTCTAGCCATGCCCTGTCATTCTGTGATACAGATTTACTTGCTGCCTGTTCCCCCTTTTCCTTCAGAGAACTCACCTAATCCTTAAAAGAAATGACCTTGAAAGCCAGGGACCTGCCCAATTCATCTAAAGAAAGGCATGGCTGATGGGGATCTGAATTTGCATCTTCCCAACATTTGGCCAATATGCCAACCACTGCAGCAGATGGTCATGTTGTTGGAGTTGTGTGAGAAGTGGTTGCAGATACTAGCTCCAGGGCTACTGCAGTGAAGGTGAAAGGTGCTTTTGTGTCTTTCAGTGAGCCAGTCAGCTCTATGGCTGGAAGACTCTTGATATAAAGCCATTGTTCAGCAGAAGCTACTGAAGTCCAAGCTGAAGGTTCTATCAAAAAAGCACAACTGGCAGACAACTTTTCTGGGGGATGACACTTTTTATTGTTACTGATTTGGCTCCTGAGGGTTGCAGAATTGTCTGATATCAAGGCAACATCACTAAGGAGAAAGGGATGAAAAATGTTATTCTGTTATATCTTTTCTTTTTTCATGGTGGGAAGAAGCTAGGGTTTATTTTTAAGGGCAAAATGGGTGTTTTGATCTGGAGAAAGGCTTACCACATGGGTTTTGCACCTTTATAGCATGAAAGAAAAGCAGATCATTGTGCTATAAATATGGATGGCTTGCTGCCAGGTACTTATGGAGATAGTCCTCCTTCTGGAGGAAGCAGCTGGATGCATAAGAGGACATTGGCCTAACCAGCCAAGTCAAAGCTGTCATTTAGTGGAGTGACAGATGTTGTAATCAGGTCACTGTCATATCTCTAGAGAAGGATCCTTTTGCCATTTCTGTTCCCTGTAGGAATAGCATGCCCGCCTTAAAAACAAAGAAACAAACAAAGGGAAGGAAAGTATTTGGACATCTCTATTATAATTTCTACAGACCACAAGAATATTAACAGTTTTTAGACTTTATTTTATTACCAAGCAATTTCTGCAGCAAAAACATTTGCAAATGGAACAAAAGATGGTTATTACTTTTCTTAATGGGAAAAAACATACAAAAGGTAGCCATGATATAATTATTGCAGTTAATATTTCATCTATAATAGGATATGAGTACATAAGAGTTATGAAAATAATATGTCTATTGTGAAGGCACTTAGTACCTTCTTTAGCACAGGATAAATCCACAGGAATTTGAGCAGTGCCATCAGAAGATCTTTCTAGGGGAGCGTGCATGATCCTTCTGGAACTCAGCAAAGTCACACTGGCATATTTGTGTAAATCTTGCACATAGTCTGCAGCTCCAGCAAGTAAAAGCAATGCTTTCAGCAAAACATTTTCATGATGCAACCACAATCTTCCTTAAACCTTCTTGCCCTGAAATACTTCTTCCTGGGGTGTCATTTTCTGCACAACAGTTTCCCCTAATCTTGTGCTAAACAGTATAAGGAATTTCATGGAAAGGTATAGCTACAGGGCATCTGTTTTTATTCGGCATTCTCAAAAAATTAGTTATTGTAGATTTTTAGCTGAGGCTAATGCCAACAATGCCTTCTTCTGTCAAAGCTGTTTCGCAGAGCTAAATGAGGATTAAATAGCTTAAGTGCTTGTATTTACAGCTAAAATAAATGAGATGATTTTAAATGCTTCTTACACTTATCAGTGGCATATTTCAGTAAAGATTCCTCTTTTTCCAAATTGCATTTTGTAAGCAGATTTATCATTGCCAAAGTGTCTTTCAGAGAGACTCTATATGGATCAGATTAGAAACCAGGCATAATTTTGCAATATGAGAAAAAATAATCTTTTAAAATGGCTTAGTCTATTTTATGAAATGTTTAATTGTGTTGGATAATAATAATGCAATACAAAAACACATAATCAAATAGAACATCTAACCAGCAGGTTTTGTAGGGTTTTCTTCAAGATGAATTTTATTTATTTATTTATTTATTTATTTATTTATTTATGCATGCATGCATGCATGCATGCATGCATGCATGCATGCCTGCCTGCCTTCGAGTCA